ATGCCTTAAAGGAAAAAAGGAGCACTAAACTCTAATCCCCAGACAGAGAAGCCCCAGGCCTGTCTTTCTTTCCTAACCTCCTCCTTCATTATTGTGATACTTGTTCAGGGGGTAGAGTGATTGCCGCCAAGCCTGGCAATCTAAGTTGGATCCCCGGGCTCCACTTGAAGGTGAGAACTGATTTCTTCTGGCTGTCTCTGACCTCCACACATATATCACGGCATCCTCACATCTACACACGCACAAACAGGTAACTCATTTTTTTTCAAAACCCAAAAAGGTTAAAACAAAATGACAAAACAAATTTCAGTTCTTCTACTTGTGAATGTCCCTTCATGCAAGTCCCTCCTTTCCACTGAGCTCTGGTCCCCTCAGCAGACTGGCAGTGCCCAGTTAGCAGCGCTGTGAGAAAGGCAGGTGGGCAGTGGCATCATCAGTGCCAGCATGGTGCTTGGAACCACCAACTCCCTGTGCACGAGGTGTAGGAGAAGGCTCTGACCTGGTACCTTTCACACCGCATCCTCCATTCTGACCCAATCGAGGTACCAGCATCTTTCCAATACCATTTTGAGATGGGGGTTGCCCCAGGCCTCTGAGGAACCCAGAAACTGGCTCGATGTCAGTTCTCACCTCCCTCCCTGTGGCTGATGGCACATCAGGAGGCCGCTTGCAGGCTGGGCTCTGGTGACTGACTAATCAAGCAGGTGTCCCTGCTGCTACGGGGCTGCTTCAATCAGGGGCATGCCGCTATGGGAGGCGTTATTAGCTGCGCCCGCAGAGTGGTCAGAGAGAATCATGAGGCTGCTCCGTGCTTGCATTTGTGTGTTTGTTCTGGCAGGGGCTGAGTCTCAGCTCTCATAAGATGGACCTTGAGCTTGAGTGACAGTCAGCTCTCTACCATGCCCCAAGGATCAAGGGAAGAGGCCTGGATGGATGGCTGGGCAGGACCCCTAAGCTCAAACTCGGGCATTTTCCCTGGCTGGGAATCTGGCCTTCAATTAGGAGATGAAGAAAGTACAGGGGCTGACGGGGAAAGGGGGCTCGGTGGCCACAGGAGGCTGTCTAAGCCAGGAAGACCATCATGATAGCTTGTTTTGGTCTAGAGTGGCAGGCCAGTCTTATGGGTTTGATCATGAGCTCAGGAGTGCAGCTTCCTGGTATTGAGTTCTGGGACTGTCACTTGCTGGCTGTGTGGTCTTGGGCAGTTGCTTTGTCTCTGCCTTGACCTTTGGTAAAATGTGGGAAATGGTGTGATTTTTGTTTATACCAGAAAGGGTGTGATGATCAAATCAGGCAAGACGTCCTGAGCGAGTGTCTAGCAAACAAAACGTATACAATCTAAAATTTTGGCTGCTGCAGCCTGTAGCAGAAAGTGCCATTTGGAGACTTCCTGTCCAAACCTCTATCCCACCCTGGAGGCAATCTCAAGGTAGGAGGCTGTTCTATGACCCTCTATTCCTCAGGCTCCTCCACCTGCGATAGCTTTAAGATGCTGGAGAGCCTTTAAAGAGCTCCTGAGATTCTCTGACCAAATCAGAGAAGAAACACCGTTGGGAACTATGTGTGCCTTTGAGTCAGGTAGTCAGCTCCTGACTGACTCCTTTCCCCATTCCACAGTTATAAATTAAGTCTGGCGAATGCCAGCTGCATGCCATTGAGCCAGAGGTCCTGGATTCAAGTCCTACCCCCATAAATCAAGGCTGAGACCCATCTACCTGGAAACGTGAGGAAGTGGGTGCACAGGTACGCTAAGGGGTCACATGGGGTTGTCCTTTCCAGCTTCATAGCCAGAATAGTAAATCCTCCTATGTCCCTTTTAGCAACAGCCCCAGCTTAGAGAATCTTCCGATTCTCTTTCTGGGTGGCTCATTCAAATTCCGTCCATAGCACGGTTTAAATGCTTTCCTTTCTTGGTGAATCCAAAAGCCACTCGGGCTATAGGCTCCTCTAGCAACTCCCTTTCCCTCCTTTATATTCTACCTCTCTTCAGTGAAGGAAGAGCTTTCACGACAGTGAAGCCTCCACCCTGCAGCAAACACGGTGTGAATCCCTTCGTTCACCATAGCACACCCAGCCTTCAACAGCTCCGGAAAGTGGCAGGCTTAGCTCCGTTTGCTGGGGTTCAGGGACCTGCCTCTGCCCCTACTTCCCAGAACCTCTGATTCCTCCTCTGGGTATGCCTAGGCTAAGAACTCCCACTGACACCCCAAAGTCTGGGCTCTGAATTACTCCATCCCCATGTCTTCCCCTTCTCTGGCTACTTCCAAGTTTGCTTATTTCTTATAGAACGAGTACAGAATAGAGGAAACCAGGAATCTTATACTAGAGGCATCCCAAAGCCATCAGTCACCATCAAGTCAGTGCCACCTACATGAAGAGTGGCCCTGATCCATGGGAGAAGCCTGGGGATATGGCTGCCAGCATCTCTGGCTCCTAGGCAGTCAGTCATGGGTTCTCTTTCATTCAACGTGTCTTTATCCCCCTACTCTGGTCATCTGGGGGTTACCCTCTCATCCCAAGCTCAGAGAAGAGTCTACACAGCTCATTGAGCAGCCCAGAAGCTCAAAACCTATGCTCTTCACTTGGGTAGCTCCGGGATCATAGACTTTAAGTCTGCTGATGGTGACCCTGGGATTCACCTCTTGCCTTTATTGTGCCCTTCCCAACAGTTTGTTGGGAATGCAGGAAGGGCACCCGTCCCATCCTCTGCTTCTTCTTCCACTTCCTGATGCCTAACAACCTCCCTCGGAGGAGCAAGCTCTGGAGAGGCTCAATGAGGCATCTTCACACAGGTGTAGGCCTTCCACCTCTCTCGTTTAGGAAACAGGCAACAGTGACCTAAGGTGGGGAGGGAGGTACCAACTGGAGGGCAATGGCACCTGGAGGACAAAGCCCAAGAAGGAACCTTGCCGTGCTTCTACGCCTATCTCCCTCCCACCATGTTAATTCCTGTGCAGACGCCTCCGACACACACTATGCAAAGAAAGACTACTTTCATTTCGGATGCATATGATGGCTAGGAACAATATGAACAATATTATTTTAGTACCCTGGGGAAAAAATTAGCAAGTCAAATATTGAATCAAGCCTGTAGCACCACATGCTAAGCAGATTGCTTTGATCTTATCCACACTAAAAGCTCTATTATTGAATCTAAAGTTGGTGAACACATATCAGACCAGTATACAGTGCATATCGGAATGCATGTTTCAGAAGCAGGGAATGTTTTGACAAAAGGGAGAACATATCAAAGCCGCAGCTGCGGCCGGAGCCTACATTTGACTACCCACCCTCTTCTCTCTGGGTTGGAGGCTTTGCTTGGCCAACCAAAATGTTTGTGCTCTGGAGACCTGCAGATGGACCCAGAAACACCTGCTGAGTGAGCTTGCATTTTTTCTCAGAACCAACAAAGGGTTTGTCACCCCACAGTCAACTTGAGAAGAGTGTGAGATGGGAGAAAGAGCGGGCAGACACCACACAAGGCATGGCACCCTCTGGTGGCCAGTTCTGGGGCCGGACTCCCTGGCTCCATAGTATTCCAGGAGTGAAACTTCCCCTCCTCCTGAGGCTTCCTCCGCTAGGAAGAACAGCTAAGGAAAGGGAAGGAGGCAGCTGATTATGAGGGCAGAAAGGGAAATAGTTGGGCCAACCTTATCTAAGATCGGCTCCTCCAGGGTCTTCCGTCAAAAGCATGGCTGGAGGACAGCATATACCTTCAACCACAGCACTCAGGAGGCAGGGGCAGAGCATCTCTGAGTTTGAGGCCAATAAATAAACAATTTTTTTAAAAGCACGGTTGAAATCAGGCGGCTGCAAACTCCAGTCTGTGGAGCATATCCAGCATGCCTTGTCTTTGCCTGCTTTTTTTTATAAGGTCCAAGATTTGAAAATGCTCTTTTATATTATTCAATGGTTAAAATATGAGAGTTGAGTATGCAGCAAAATGCAGAGCGCTTGCCCTCAATACTGGGTTCTGTGTTGGAGGGAAGGAAGGAGGGGGTGCCACGATCCACAGACACGAAATTCATCTAAGTAGGGCCTATGGACACTATAACAGAGTGATTGCAACGGTCAGATGAACAGGTCCAAAAACTGGTAATTTCCATTTTTCTGAGCTATGGTCTGAGCTATGTAGGGTAGCCTAACTACCTATTTGGATTTGTTTTGCTTTTATAATTCATTTTGGCCTTGGCTGTGTGTGTAGGATGGTAATGTGTATGACTGTGTGCAGGGGTACAAGCCAGATGACCACCTCTGGTGTTCTTCCTCAGGTGCGGCCCCTGTCCCCACCCTTAAGAGTCTCTCACTGGCGCAGAACTTATCAACTAGGGTAGACTGGTTGGCCAGTCAGCCCTGGGGATCTGCCTGTGCCCATTTCTCCAGTGCTGGGATTCTAAGAGAGACTACCATACCCAGCATTTTCTACAGGGCTTCTGAAGATCAAACTTGGGTTCTCAGGTTTACAAATAAGTACTCTGGTCTGAGCTATCTCCACAGCCTAGTTTTGACTTTTTGTATTTTTGAGACAAGGTCTCTCTCTATAGACCTGCCTGTCCTGGAACTCACCAGGTAGACAGACCAAGTTGACTTCAAACTCACAGAGATCTGCCTGCTTTCTGCCTCCCAAGTGCTGGAATTAAAGGTGTGCACCATCATCATGCCTGGACTATTTTTGGCTTCTTAAGGAAGGGTTTCACTACATATTCCTGGCTGGCCTAGAGTTCACTTCGTGGACCGGACTAGCTTTGAACTTGTGGCAGTCCTCCTGTCTCAACCTCCTGAAGGCAAGTACAGATATTACAGTTCTATCTGGCCCTTCAGTAAGAGTTCATTGGCTATTGTTTCTTCCACTTGCTGCCATTAACGGGGCTGAACGCTGACAGCCTAGCCCTCGTACCTCTCTTCCTGTCCACTGCATGTGGACATCGATGCCGCAGTCACTCACGAGAGAGGAATGCGACACAGAGACAGCGCTCCCAGTTCCATCCCTCCAGACTTACCATTTTATTATTGATTTCATGGAAATGAATCTCACAGACCTTCTCCACAACGTCTTCATTCTCAAAAGTGACAAAGCCAAACCCTAAAGGAAGGAGAAAGAGACAGGAAGAGTGAGTTTGGTTTCTGCAGGACGTGCAGAGTGGCCTGCAGTCGGGGCAGGCTCCAAATGGGCGAGGAGATGGGGATGTTGTGGTATAGGCAGGGATTCCAGTTGGTACCCAGCACTCTTCCAACAGTGAGGCGAGAGTCAGGATTCCACCCACATGCAGCAGGCACTGTGTGGCTTACATCTGCCCCGAAGCAAGCAAGAAATTTACTTGTCTGCTATTTACAAGGGTACGGCTCTGTGCGGAGGCAGGCTTGTGGGCTACAGAGAGCCTCTTGGATCTCTGCGGGGCCTTGCTGGTCCTTTCTGTGAGCTTCGATGGCTAGCCCTCGGGTCGGCCGCCACGCGGAGGCGGTTATTGGTCCTTTTCTTCCTGAATGACTTCCTCTAATACCTCATCAGGACATCCTGAGGCCTGGAAGGAACTATTAAAAGTTGCAGGCCTCTGTTCTGTGCGGGCATCCTTTTGCTACTGCCGCTTCAAACACGCTGTGGATTTGGGGCAGTTTAAGACTGTCTGATGCCTGCTGTCAGCCCGTCAGCTAGCCACTGTATTTACTCGGCTGGAGGCCGGCTTTACTAGACAAGCTGCACTAAAGAATTTTGGCAGGCGACTGCCGCTCAGCATCCCGCGTGCTTCTCTCTGCTCTCCTGCCCCTTCCTTTCTTCTCTTTCTACCCCCAACAGTGTTTCCAGCATGTGTCCCCATCTGTGACCTGACTCAGTAAGCACCAGGGTACAACGTGGGCCCACACATGGTGGGTCTACCACCTTGCATTGAGCACAGCTGTCATGTTGGCGCTAACGTGCAAGGGGACCTGGGCAGCGATGGAGAGACACTGATGAGGCAGGGGCCTGGTTATATAGTCTTGCCTGGGCATAACCTGGGCACCTGCTTCTGCTCTCTGGACCTCACACTTGGTACCTGGAAGTAAAAGTAGTGCAAGTAGATATCAGGCTCCCCAGATCTGGACTCCCAGGGCTCTGCTGTGGACTGTGTGTGTGTGTTGCTTGGGGGGTGGGGGCGGGGGTGAAGTGGTGAAGTAGGTCATGAGGAAGAAACCCTTCAGAGTGGGATTAGTGCCCTTTAGAAAGGCCGGATGGCTTGCTTTTTTTCCTCCCTCGCCTGCCCAGTCAGGCTATAATATAAGGTGTCTTTCTGTAAGCCTGTTAGAGGAGCCCTTCCCAGGGTTGACCACGCTGGCCCCGTGTCTCAGACTTCTTGCTTCCAGAATTGTTAAGAGGCCTGTTGTTTATAAGGTACAGCATTGCCTCACAGCCAAGACACTCCTTTCCCCAAAGATGCGACCGGGCCTAATGCAAAGCATGGGAAGACCCAATCTGACTGGCTGGTCTTCTAGGATGATCATCAGGAGTGCTTCCTATCACTGAGGAAGAGGCGGACATAGCCCTTTCCAGTTTCTGTTTTGGGGCTCAGCCACCAAGTCCCTTCTAGTTCATAAAACCACCTCTACTACCACCTTCCAGGGAGACGGAGCCGACATACAGGGCTTTTACATCACGGTTCCCACAGCAGACTCTAGAAGAGTCTTCAGTAGAAGAAGGTGGCTCCCTGCTCTCAAACAGCCTCCAAAAACAGAGGGCCAGGAGGACCACACATACACAGTCACGATCTTCAGGCTGTGCCATTTGCCACCATGTTCCAAATACCGAACTGACGTTCCCACACAGTACACACAGTGTAGGCCATCAGAGACACGCGAGGCACACGCGAGGTAGGTATATGACACGCTCCCAAGAGGACCCAATTGTCTGCTGAGCTGCCTCAAACTGCGAAGTTTTCTCAGTACTCTTGGGTAAAAGTGTCCTCAGTAACCCGAGGCTTGAAGCCAATACCACACATGAGTTATCTAAAATGAAGGCTCATACCTCCCAAGCTGTGTCCTTGGAGAGAACCTACAGAGCTTCTGATGCCTTCTCTTTGGAAGTCACCTTTTCCTTGGCCCCTAACCGCATGTCCCTTGCTTCCAGCCTGTGGGTCCCATTTGCCAAGGTAACCCTCCTAGCCTGTGCCCACCTCAGCACCTCGCAAATAAAACAAGCTCAAATGAGCTAGGCTTTTTGTTGTTGTTGTTTTGTTTTTTGCTGTGTTACCTCATTGCTAATGAGAGTGACCCTCCAAATATATACCTATCCCCCGAGCTCTGGGGAAAAAAGGGCTTTTGCAAATGTGATTAAGGATTCCAGGTTGAAGGAGAGTTCCTAGTCGAACAGCTGGTGGTGTCCTCATAAGAGGTGGGAGATGGAAAGCGATACAGAGAAAAGGCCGGGGGAGGGCAAAGGCAGGTATGGGACAAGTGGTACAGTCACAAACAACCACCACAAGCCAACAGACTGTCACCTATACAACTGGGGAGGGGCGCGGACGCCACCTATAGCACAGCGAGACACTTGACTGATGCTGCTTTCAGTCACCAAGCTGTGGAGAGTTTGTCACGGCGATGACAGGACACCCATAGAGTGAGGGAACAGGCTTCCCTAACTCTGCTGTCTCCACAAAGGGACCATATACTTCCTCCAGCCAGGCTGCTCTGGACAGAAGGCTCTGAGCAGAACTTACGCAAGCTATCAGGAAAGAAGGCAAAGCCAGTGAGCTCCAGGAGGTGGAGGGCAGCCAGAGGTCTGGAGGCCTCTAGAGGCCCAGCGGACTCATACTAAACAGAACAGAGGCGAGGATGCAGCTCTTCCACTAAGTTGCATCTGTGTCCACCATGGAAGGCACTGTTCCAGGTCACTATTACACAGACCTGTGCTGGGTCACCAGGCAGACAGGAAGGGGGAGACCAGCTGAGAAATGCGGATTCAAATGTATGTGGCTGTAAGGGAGGCAGAGGGCTCTTGGCATACATTTGGCTTCTGACTTTGAACTTTCCTCGATAGCCCCTCTTCCTTAACCCCACGGGACTTGTAATGTGTTTATCACAAAAGTGATTCTCCTGGGGCTGAAGAGATGGCTCAGTGGTTAAGAGTATTAGTTGTTCTTCCAGAGGATCTGGGTTCAATTCAAGGCATCCACACAATGGCTCACAATCATCTGGAACCTCAGTTCCTGGGAACCTGATGCTCTTTCTGGACTCAGTACTGCACACAAGTGATCCAAAACACTCATAATACATAGAATAAAAATAAGCAAAACCCTTAATCCTTATTTATTTTTTTTTAAAAAAAGGTTTTTCTGACTAAAGGAAGATAGCCTGGATTGAAGCCTCTGCATCCTGGATCCATCACAGTTTAGTGATGTCAAGACTCATCGGCAGCATTTTCAGCATCTATATCTCTTTAACATCTCTGTCTGTTTGGCCTGCATAGAGAAAACAAACTTGATTATGTCTAAAATATTTATTTATTCCATTTGGGGAAGCAAAGAAGCAATGAAACACTTAATTATCAATAAGTGTTATTCCTCAACATATAATCATTTTATCTCACAGGTGCATTATCATCTCTGAGAAATTAGTAACTCGGTGGTGAACAGCTTTCTCCTCCCCAAGTAAATTAAACCAACAAGCAACGGACAGAAATAATGAGATTAGGAATTTGAGAGGGATGGGTGGTGAGTGGGGAAACCCCCTTTGAGCATTATAGTTTTCTCTTTCAAAGTGAAAAAACGTTATGGTGGTAAAATATACACAGCATAAAACTTCCCATCTTAAGCATTTCTTAAAGTGTACAGCCCAGTGGCATGAAGGACAGAGACACAGTTCTGAAGCCATCGCCATACCACCCATCTCTGGAGTCTGTTTGTCAGCCCAAACTAAAGCTGATACTCACTAAACAGTTGCCTTTTCCAGCCTGCTAGCCCTGGAAGCCTCTACTTTCTTCCGTCTATGCAATGACATATTCTAGATACGATTGTAGGCACAACCGCATAGCGCTTGCCTGTTTGTCCCTGCTTAGTGCACTTGGTCTCACAGGCTTTTAGACCAACCTGCTGGCTGCACAGTTTCCACAGAACCTTGGGAAGGTTGGGGGACAGGAAGGAAAGAGCAGTTACCCTTCATCTTCCCAAAGGGAAAACGAGAAGTGGCATCTCACGAAGGCCCACGAAACCGAGGCATGCAGACGGGTAAGAGAGACATGTTATCCTCATCCAAAAGCAAGGGCCAAAGGCTGGGAAGGGCGCTCAGGGTATCAGGGGAGTTTGGCTCTCCAGCTCTCAAGTAAAACCTGGACTCGGCTGTATGCACCTGTGTGCCAAGGGGCAGAGACAGGTGGATCCCTGAGGGCCTGCCAGCCAGTCATGGTAGCCAGTCAGTGAGCAACCGTGTTCAGTGAGAGCCTATATAAATAAAGAAATAAGAAATAAGGCGTCGAGAGGAAGACCGTCATCCTCTGGAGTCCACCCGCACTACATATTCACAGCAGCAGCAACAACAACAACAATAAAAAGGGCCAAACAATGAACTCTGTTCCTCCCAACAACCTGAGAGCCTCTTTACTTTTCTCTCAAATGAGAAAAATGGGTTTCTGAACTGGTCCTCATCAGGGCACGGGTTCTACCTGCTGTGAGTCCACAAGAATTTGTACTCCACCAAGGCCCTGTGAGGGAGCCACCCTGTTCTGTGTCCTATTTCCCTTGGTGCTGGGGGAAGAACCCCCACCCCCACCAGGTGTTTAAATTCACTCTAGCACTACTAGCAATGGAGAAGAACCCAGGGCTGAAGTTTGCGTGACAACCACAGAACGCCACCTGCCCACTGTATTAAGTGCACCCTACCCTTCCAAGGGGGCCCCAGGAGTCCCCAGAACTGGGGAAAAGAATGTGGCGAGAGGCTTCACCCCAGACAAAGGGCTTTCAGAATGGGCATATGTAGGGTAACGGTGGGCAGGTTACATTTACTGAACCGGAGCGTTCTCTTGAATAAAGCTATTATTGGAAACTAACAAGTGAGCCCCACTTAAGAGCAACGTTTAACCGTCAAACCTTTCTCTCTCTTTTGTTCAAACAAGCAAAA